TCTTGAGCCTTAACTCTTTGGGTGCCTTTCATGTGAGTATTTTGCTGTCGCCTGTGGTTCCCCAAGCATTGTTAATGTTTAAATGTAACTTATGGTATTGTTGCTTCTTGCAGGCCTATCCTGCCTGTAATTCAGTAATCTTGTCATGGTCCTATGTATACAGCATTGTGTTAGTGACAAGAGCTTGTGGTGCTATAACCCTGAGCACATGAGTATGTGGCTTCCAGGTTTTCAGCATGGCTGTTAGTGTCTAGCAGGTTCTGACAAGTGCTGTTAATCACATCATTATCTTCAGTTTCATCTGTGTTTTGTAAGGTTGGATCATGTTTTAATTACCTAACCTCATTCCCAAAGAGACCAGCTACATTCTATAAGGTGAGGGTCAGGTATGTATGAAGATAAAATAAAAAAGAGCGTGCAATGCATGGGCATAATGAATTGTAAGTTTTTCAGCCCTATTGACCGCACTGTTCCTCAGAGTGCATATGCAGGGGTTAATGGATTGTAAATCTCTCCAGCCCTTTGCTATCACTGCTCCTCAGAGTGCAAATGACTGAACTTCTGGATTATAACTCATCACCAGTACTGCTCCCCAAAGAGTGAGTAAGCTGTTCAATTTGGGATGAAAGGTCCGCTTCAAGCCGTGATACAGCTGCTAAACATGCAGCATCCTGCGTCCAGCTAGTGGATTGGATCACAAGAATTGTACAAACTTAAAGCAGTACTTGGCCTACAATCACCTGGCAGGATGCAGTGCCAGGTTTACCCTGCAGGGGCAGCAGTGAATAAACAGGAGAAGGATGGAGGTCTGAAGCCTTCCACAGTGGTGATGTACTTTATGAACTGTCTGATGCCTTACACAGTGGTGTTATACTTTATGAACTGTCAATTACTAGCCCAGTAATAGCACTTACTGGCCAGGGCAGTCCATACCTGGCCTAAGTATGGAGACTGACCTTTTGGCTGGCAATAAGGTCTCAGGGGCATGGTAGTTCTGAATAAATTGACATCAGCAGTGACTTCATAGAGAGGCTGCTATGGATATGCTGCATTGCTCATCCGAGACTGCAATTGCCTTGAGTTGGTACAGATCTCACCACACACCGATATCTAATGTCACGGGCATGGAAGAATTCACAATCCTTCTTTCTTCATTGAAACAACCAAGATTACTCCCTCCCAAGAAAAGCAAAAGTCCTTTTGAGGGTACATCTTGTTGGGTTATGTGTTCAGATGAAACACTGCAATCTTGAGGAATGCTGAATTAAGTTCTACTTGCTTAGGCCACTACATGAATGAATATAACATTGTGAAGGAAATTAACTTCTTGTGTATTACAGATAAGCATTCCACTACAGCGCCATCTACAGCTCAAAAGACATCAGTACATTAGTATACGCTGCTGCATTTCCAACACCTCTGACTAACTTGCCCAGTAGGTCTCAGGTTGTGGGAGCTTTCAAAGGTTTGAGCTTTACTTTTCAGAGTATATGCTCATAGGTCCTGTTAAGAGTTCAAGACGAACATTGTCAGGATTTTCTTCTCATCTTTCAGTCCATTCATTGCCATCAGGTTCCTTGGCGCAAGCAAAACCTTAGGTTATAAGCACACATATCCAATGGTGTTGCATAATCTTTTCCAGTCCAAAGATATCAAGCTTGTATCCTCTAATTTTCATAGTAGGACAACTAGCTTGCACTACTATGCTGAAGACTAGTCTTGGTTTGAACACTTAAACAGATGGATCAGGATCCAAATATTGCATATGGAATCACTATATTCATCACCTTAAGCCATCAACGGGCTATAGAATGCTGTGCCTGGCAGATGTGTATTCACATTCCTCCACACCTTTACTTCATCGAATGTCTTGCGCACCATTCTAAAGTTCCACTTATATTTTGGTTTGTTACTTGCCCTTTGGCCTTGCTACAATCCTAGGTCATTTTCCAAATATTACATCTAGTCACATCCTTCTTGAGTGAACAAGCATTCAAGCTATTACAGCGACATTCTGCTGATAGTTCAGCATGCTCTTACTCTGGCATCCTAAGTTAGCCTATGATCAAATTAGAAGCGATCGCCAAGGGGGAAAGCCAAAGTGGTCTAGTGCTTGCTGAGGCAGACTATACCTCTATCCTCCCCCTTGGCATCCCAAGTTGACAGGACAACTCCTTGGTGTCTCAAGTTGCCAGAATCAATTCAACTGGTGACATTGGACTTATTGGCCGCTAACAGTCTTCCAACAGGGTTCTTTAGACAAAAGAGAAAACGTTCCTTGTGGCTTTGGTTCTGGATTATTCCAAATATGAGATTCTTGGTTGTGACTGAAGGCGGCAAGTCTATTTCAGCTGTTATCTATGTCCCTATCCAGTGATCGTGTTATAAGAGATTTGTTTGTACAAATAACTTCAACAGCCCTTTGGTTAAAGGTCAGTGACAGTCCATCAAGAGGAAAATGTCTTCAGCATCTTGGAGTTCGAGAGCCTTTCAGATCCAAGGAACCTCCGTATTAGTTCAATGAACAACTGAATTATGTTTTTTCCATAGATGTAGTGTCTGCCCATAGGTGTAGGAACTGCTCACTGCTGATGGAGGTACCTCCCAAAAAAATAAAAAAGGGATTCGGCGCTGAACTCCCCAGCGTTTCCCGGCTGACACTATAAGCCACAAAGCCCTGGACGACAATGAATGTTTTCTTTTCCAGCAGTTTCCTGTGGATCAGCAACAAGTGAGTTATCCAGATCTCATCCTGATGGTAATCCCTAAGAGCACAGAGTGCAAACACTCCTTGTCAAGAGAACATTCTAAGGAAGTAGAAGTGGATAATGGAGTAATGGATATTCTATTGTGTTACCCTCCCTGTTTGTGTGATCGCTATATCCCATTGTATGCTGCCATGTACGGTATCAGGAAAACTGAAAATTGTATACTTACCTATCAGTAATGTTCCTTTCCTGATGCCAGTACATGACAGCATACAGGACCCTCCCATGGCTTTCGCATTGAGTACTTGTTACGAGAATGGTGGCCTTGGGAGGCGGGCTTTAATTTATAGTATAACTGGTCCTGTGATTGGGCTGGGGGCGGAGCCATATCCGTTGTATGCTGCCATGTACTGGCATCAGGAAAGGAAAATTACCGATAGTTAAGTATACAATTTTCCGTTATACTGTTTATACATCTAATTCTGTATTCTTACATTAACTGTACATAAGTAGCTTATGTACACACATAGATAGATAGATAGATAGATAGATAGATAGATAGATAGATAGATAGATAGATAGATAGATAGATAGATAGATAGATATCTCTATATATCTATATATAGAGAGATATATAATATACAGTGTATATATATAATCTTAAATATGCAGTGATTCTTTGGGCTCCTTTATGGCTATATATGGCATAGATATAAAAAGTGGCAAAAGCAACAGATTTACCTGCAGGATTTTTGTAGTGTTGTCCGACAAGGTCATTACACAGGCAACCTTTACACAATGCCCACAGCACTCTCCGCGTGTTGTCTTATATTTGCATCCCTGCAAAAGTGTCAAAAGTACCATTCAGTGTTCTTAGTCTCTCAAAGCATATTGACTGAGATGTAATAAAATATTTTGCACTCTGGGTACACCGTTTAACCCCTTCGTGACTGACGACGTACAGTGTACGTCGCCAGCATCGGGGCTGTTTAAAACAGACTCCCGGCGACTTTTGCCACCGGGACTCTGTTTAAACTTGTAGAGCCGACTGTCGGCTTTACAATCAGAAGCGATCCTGGCGACTTACCTGTCGCCAGATCGCTTCTGCGTCCCGAAGAAGGGGCCGCCCCCCCCCCGTGGGTACTGCAGTTTTTCGCCGTTTCACGGTCGCACGCAATCTGTAAACTGGGCATGTTGGGTATTGTTTTACTCGTTGTAACCTCATCTTTTATATTTCATAAAAAAAATGGGTAATTTGTTGTGTTTTGGGGCATTTAATTAAATTTGTCACTAAATTTTGGGGTTTAATAAGGAGTTGCGCTAATATTGCGCAACATAAAAATTTTCAACTACCACCATTTTATTCTATAGGGTCTTGGCATTCAGAAAATATATAATGTTGGGGGGTTTTACGTCATTTTCAGGCCTAAAATGTGGAATATAACATGGGTGCAAAAATGGAAAAAAGGGCCTCAGTCATGAAGGGGTTAATATAACAGGTGGCTGTGAGCAGTGGCTTTTACTTAATGTCAGTCTTTCTGTTAGGAAAAAGCAGCATGAAGGGTGTTCCAGCATTACCATCAGGCATCAGACTGTAACAAACTTTTAATAGGAAAATGAACCCACCACTGAACAGTCCTCAGTTGGACAAGCTCTTCTGATTTCCACTGGGATTAACTGGTCCTCAATAACGTCGCACTCATATTTGACACATGGTTGATCAGGTGGGCTCCATGTTTCACCAGGCTACAGTTTTTGAAAGAAACATTAATGTAAATAAAAAGTGGAAACCTCAGATACAAAAATAAATATTTTGAATCTAATTTCCAGTCCTAATTTATTTCCATCCCTCATTTAATTTCACTAAAAGGCTCTGTACTTTTAGTGAATTGTTTGCAAGCAATGCACTGCTTGTAAGAAAATGCCATGTTAAATAGCCGGACCAACTGTTTTTCTGAAATGTCATCTCCTTTAATTTGTTTTTACCTTTTACTGTCTGCAGTTTCTGCACAACAATTGGCTGTTGTCAGGCTTTCTGGCTTCAGAATAGAAATACAAACACGGATCTGGGGAGGAATTCATAAAAACATGCTGACCATGCTCCATCCACTCAGAAAAGCCTACTACATGGTCTGCAACTGTAATGTTGCTATGGATGACAGATTGGAGCATGTCTCCTGCTGCTGCTCTGCATTGCTTTTTACTAGGAGAAACTGCAAAGCAATTTTAAATACAAAGGTTTAAATTTCTCTGATAATACATATATTTTACAACATATTTAAGCATAATCAGACATAACACTAGACCTTTACTGGATACAGATCAACGAAAAAAAAGTACTCATTGCTGAAATGATATAAACTTAGTGACTTTTTTTATCTCAACTGACATTTTTTCAATATGTTGGGGTATACTGGTCTAGACTATAGTAATGTCATTGTATTCCATCATAAATATTGGATTCACGTTTGTATATACAGTGAGTGGCCAGATTATTATGACCACCCCATCAGTACTTCGCTGGGCCACGAGATGACTGCACGAGATGACTTTGTTGGGCCACCTTGTGACTCCACGAGATGTTGAAAGGTGATGCGAGGAATCTGACACTGCACTGTTGCCCTTCTGTTGTCTTGTACCAGTCTTGCCACTCTCCGTTCTGCCCTAACATTGACTAGTCGCTGACGCCAACATTTTGCACGTTCAGACCCAGATTTTCAGCTGACAGTCCAGTCTTTAAACACTTTAGCAACAGCTGCTCTTGAACATTTAACAAATTCTGCTGTTTTGCTGATACTCGCTCCATGGCTTGAGAGCCAACAATAATCCCACGTTCAAAGGCTGTTAAATCGCGTTGTTTACCCATATCTTCTGAAAAAAAACACTTCTACTGTCGTGTTAAACAACCTGCTTCCCTATTTATAATGGTCTGGCCCTCTAGCAACTTCAGCGCGAAATTATAGCTAATTTGCCTACAAACGTCAGGTGGTCATAATAACCTGGCCACTCAGTGTATATGCTAGCTCTTTTAGTGACATTTCCATTATAAATTGTTGGAAACAGTATATGTTACATAAAACATAAAAACAAACCTGTGGACAGTCTTCAGGATGGAAAGCTGGACATGGCTTGGTCCCTCCTACAATTTCAAGGGTGCTGGTACATTTGTAGGTGGTACATTTGTCTTCTGGTGGAGTGTATACCTCTCCAGGCTAAAATATGCAATACAAATGCCCCTATTGAAACATAGTAAAAACAGTGAAGCGCCACGGACTGTCAGTCCTTAATGGGAATTGCTTTTAGGCATACTGCAGGATGCTGCCCCAAAGAAGTCGGGAAAGCTGGAAATCTAGGAAATAAGCACAAAAGGGGCGCCTTTCCTTGTGCAGATCACTTTTATTTCAATAAACATCAATAAAAAACCGAATCATACTCACAAACATGAGTGTCACAAAGTCATGAGGTGAGGACTGACAAGCAGTGAGATGTCCACTAGGTGATACCAGTGTAGTGGTGACGTTAACGCGTTTCCGGGGCACGCCCCCTTCATCAGAACATCATGTTTGTGAGTATGATTCGTTTTTTATTGATGTTTATTGAAATAAAAGTGATCTGCACCAGGAAAGGCGCCCCTTTTGTGCTTATTCCCTATTGAAACATGTTCACAGACAAACAGTTCCCACATGACTGCATAGAAGTATTATATTTGCATACATACACATGCAGTATACAGTACATATATATTAGAAATGATTCACTCAACATAATCTTCAATATACAGTGATTTTTATGGCTGCTTATGTGGAATAGGATTGATAAAGTGACAATACAGACTGATTTACCTTCAGGATTTGTGTAGAATTGTCTGACAGTGTCATTACACATGCCACCTTTACACAACGTCCACAGCACTCTCCTGGTGTTGTCTCATATTCGTAGTCCTGCAACAGTCACAATAAGAACCATTTAGCTTCTCAACTTCTCAAAGCATATTGAGTGATATTTTCATATACAGTATATACTGTATATCTTGCACTCTGGATACAAGGTTTTATGTGATCACACTCACCTTTAAAATAATAGACATTGTGGTCAAATATAATCATAATAAGGACCAGCTTTAATTGTCAACCACCTGTATAAACACCAAAGACTTTTAAAAAAAGCATTATTTTATTCACAGTGCAGGGAATTGATCAAAACTGGAGCAGACAGAATCTAGAGCAGTTGCCCATGGCAACCAATCAGCATCTCTCTTCAGTTTGCTTAGGTAAGATTTGAAAATGAGACAGGGAAGCTGATTGTTTGCAGTGGAAATCTGCTCCAGATTTTGTCTGCTCCAGTTTTGATTAATTCCCCCCATTGTGTTTTTACTCCTTTTATTTTTTTATTTTTTTCCAGTATCCATCCCTTGTTACAAAACTGAAAAATGACCATTACCACTCAGTGTATTAGCTATGAATCTGACTGATGGCTATAGGAAACTCCTCAGCAGTGGCATTTATTTTGCTTCCGACTTTTTGTCTAGAAGAGATGGAGTTCCAGCCTTCAGGTGCATTCTGTGACCAACAGATTACAGGCATATAGAAGTGGCATGGGGTAGTGTATCAATCTCTGGATGAAAACTGAAATAATGCGAAGGCTGTGCTTCCTGTAAGAATTTACATTTTTAATTTAATACTGGAATACATTTTTAATAGGAAAATAAACCCACCATTGGACAATCTTCAACTACACAAACTCTTCTGATTTGCACGGCCATCAATAATATCGCACTCATATGTGGCACATGGTTGATCAGATGGGGTCCATATTTCACCAGGCTAAAGTTTTTTTATGAAAAAAACATAATTTATGTAAATAAAAAGGAGAAACTTTAGATACAAAAGAATGATTTAGAATCTATGCATCAGAGTTGTATTGCTTTCCATCAACATAGCAACCAGAGTAGCCTATTCGGTCCTGACAATGAAGAGCCTCAGTTCATTTCCCTCCCACATTTCATGCTGCAGCAAGCCTCCATACTGGATGCAATTCAAGGCTTTTGTGATTGATATACACATGCCATATAACTGAAAGTCCAAGGTTTACACATGTCTGCATAAAACTTGAGGTCAAATAAGGAAAGCTATTGCAAAGATGATGGAATCCCAGAAATTACATACAACAGATAGCACCATGATTGTCATGTTTATAATATCACTGATGCGTGACATGTGCGATTCGGTTCGTTCCAAAATTCGTTTTGGACGAAAAAAAATTACAACATTTACCTTCTCCAACATTTCTATGGTTAAAGTACAGATGCAATAGCGTAGAGGTTAGAGGACAGGTTTGCCATTGTTAAGGTCGCAGGTTCTAGTCCCGGGTAGGTAGTGTAATGGATAAAGATTTTTTTTTCTTTGCTTTTGAATTGGCATTCTCCTATTGACCTAAATGACTAAATGTAATTTTTTTTTCTCATTTTGTTTTTGGACGAATTCCGTTCATAATTTTTTTTTTTTTACAGATTGCAGAAATTTTTTTAAAAAAGCGTGAGGTTTCCCCCCAATTCATACCAGACCCTTTTGGTCTGGTAGGAATGTTAGGAGGGCCCCCCCCTTTAAAACACAAAAAAAGTGCGTGGGGTTCCCCCCAAAATCCCTACCAGACCCTTAAGGTCTGGTAGGAATTTTAAAGGGGAACCCCAGCCCCCAAAAATGGGGGAAAAAAACGTGGGGCCCCCCCTAACAGTCCTACCAGACCCTTGATCCGAGCACAGGCCCGGCAGGGCAGGAAAGGGGGGGGGCATCGAGCGCCCCCTCCCTGCACCTTACCAGGCTACGTGCCCTCGGCATTGGGAGGGTGTCAAGGGCCTCTTCCCCACAACCCTGACCCGGTGGTTGTGGGGGTCTCCGGGCAAGGGGGCTTATTTGCATCGGGGTACCCCTTTAAATAAGGGGGCACCCAGATGCCACCCCCCCATGTGAATGAGTAAGGGGTACTTGTACCCCTACCCATTCACTAAAGGGTTAAATCAAATAGTTAGTAAAAAGTCCAGACTTTTGACAAAATCCTTTAATTGAAAAAAACAAACAGTCAATTTTTGACTATTCCTTTAATAAAAACATTTTTTTTAAATGGCTCCATCGATGTAATCCAGAGTCAGGATCAGGATGCAGCACCCCCGCCGACCCGCCAAAATAAAAAAAGTCCCGCCGCAGACGACCACCCGAATTCGACGAAAACTAAACGCAAAAAAATGACATTCAGTTTGAAAGTCAACAGATGGGCGGAGCGAGCCATGACGTCACGGCTCGCTCCGCCCATTTGACATTCTCAGCTGTCAAATGCTACATATTGCATTCATATATATCAAATGCTTCTGTGGTTAAAGTATAGAGGCTATAGTGTAGTGGTTAAAGCACAGGATTGCCATTGATAAGGTCGCAGGTTATAGGGCAGGGCGTGTACAGTTTTTTTTTTTTTCATGTCTACTGATCTGCATTAATTAATCAAGCTGTACCTGCACAATCTTTGTAGTATTGTCCTTTAGTTTAATTACGCAAGCCACTGGTCCACAGAAACACAAGCATTTGTCTTCAGGCTCCACATATTCGATGCCCTTAGAAAAACAAAACATAAACCAATATTTAACCCAGTACAAATACATTTAAACATTGTTATTGGTGGAACTTTTTTTTAGCAGTACAGAGTACACTGCTTGCCAAAATTGCCATGTAATAAAGCTAGAATAGCAGTTTTTTTTAAGAAAATGTCATCCCCATGTTAATTCTTTGCCTTTTACTGCCTTTGGTTCGTGCAGAATCAAACTGTTTGGCTGCAGAGTAGTGTTAGGGTAGGAATTAAGAAAAAAAACATACTGGCTCTGCCTACTCAGTAATGCCTACTACTTGGTCTATACATTTAATGTTGTTATATAAATGAGAGATGGGGGTATGTCCGTGACTGCACTGTTCTGCCTCACAGGGGCTTTGTCACTAGGGAGAACTGAAAAGCAATTTCAAATACAAAGGTTTGGAATTTATAGATAATCCATATGTCACAACATTGAGCATCAGAAATAAAAAGAGATTTACTTGCTACAGATCAGCTTTAAAAATGTGCATATTGTTGAATGTATCTAATTGTAGGGATACTTTTTATCTTAACTGAATTTCTTTAATAACTTGTAGGATAATAGTCTAGGCCAGGGGTCAAAATTTCAACTCCTGAGCTACTAGCCAGGCTTTAAGAGTTACTCGCCACCAGTTGCCCACCTAACCCCTACCCTGCCCTTAACTCCACCCCTAAACTCACCCTCTTAAATAATCTTATAAATCACACTGTTTGATGTTTTATGCAAAATAAAGTTACAAAAATAAATATTAACAACTTTAACAATTTTACCATAATTGAGAACATTTACTTCATATATACTGTGTGTTATAACTCCGACCATATGTATGGACTATTTACTTCAGTCCATACATATTTACTTCAGTTCACTTAGATTTAGTATACCCTACTGTTTATAATAGAAATTTTTTGTTTTTATGAACCTACTAAACGTTATAAAATCTATAAAATCATTGACTCCTATACTGTTTCTATATCATATTCTGTATTCTCACATTGACTGCATAGAAGTAGAATTTTGGTTTACATATATAGACATTGAAATGTTATGGAAGTAATTAGCTTGACACATTTTGAATATACATTCATTTATATTGATTCATATATGGCTTATGACTCAATAACAGATTTACTTTCAGGATTTGTGTAGAGTTGTCCGACAGTGTCATTATACATGCCACCTTTACGCAATGTCCACAGCACTCTCCTGGTGTTGTCTCAAATTAATTCATAGCCCTGCAACAGTGACAATAGTAACCATTCAGTTTCCCAGCATCTCAAAACATATGGACTGAGATGTAAGTATATATTTTGCACTCTGGGTAGAGAGTTTCATGAGATTGAACCCACATTTTTATGCTAAGGTTTCCAAGACAATAAACATTCTGGTCAAACATATTCTGCAAATGGACTTCTTCAAATGTAAATCTTCTTCATAGGCCTCCAAGACTTTTGGAAAATTCCCTTCTATAATGTATCTATCTATCTATCTGTCTATCTATCTATCTATCTATCTATCTATCTATCTATCTATCTATCTATATCCATATATTCATTGGACACATTTTCTGGTGGCTGGGAAGGATATAGTAAACAGGGAACATCACTGGAGCTAGTGGTGCCCTCTCCCCCATATCCTGCACATTGATGATGATGAACATCTAGCCCCAAAAAATGTGTTTGTTTCTTTTTGGATCAATTACATTTTTTCCAGATTTAGGATTTTAGATCTGGCTTGTTATTCAGAAATCGGATTGATATTAATTTTTAGTTTTCGGTTCAGATCGATCGATCCCTCTCTATGTGGAAATATTATTCAACACCTCACTTGCAACATGCCCCCTCGCTACCACTTCGCCAGCACCCCCCATCCCACCCCATCATTACAGTACCCTCATTCCCCTTCTAACCACCTGCCCAACACTGCACCTTCACACTTCCCCCACGCTCTCACCACCAGCTGACCATCATCCTCCAACTCCCACACCTACACATGAACTCACACTACTGTGTTTGATCCTCCTCCCTTTCCCCTGCTCTTACCACTTGTCCCACATGCCTCTACTTCACTCACCACTGCACCAAAGTCCACCTCTGTACTTGCTGCCACTGTACTGTTGTATGCCTGAGCACTCACTGCTCTCCACTACTGCATATATTGGCTAGTCATGTATATAGAAATTCAGAGAAGTGTTTCTCCCTCTCTCTGTTCCTTAGTATGCACCTCTGCACTCTGCCATCGATTCAAATAGCCTTCCAAGGCAGTGGCTGCAGCTACTAAGTAAGCAGACATAGTCAGTCTCAGACACTGTGCACTAATCCAAACTTACTAAACCAGTGCCAGAGATGATCCATACTAGCAGGACACTAGAGACAGAGAATGCAGCCTTTGTATATAAAACATTAGGTAGGTGGTGCCTGGGAAAGGCACACTCATTGCAATACAGTTGAAAGGTTCAAAACATTAATAAGAGAACTGTACAGTTGGTTCAAATCCAGACAGAGGGAAAGCCTAGTGCCACCCAAGGCCGCATGGAGTAAAAAGGCTATAGTAGTTTCCCTTTTTACAAACAAAACATATTTCCTCCTGTATAAGGTTCTCTACTCTAACCCCGCCCACCACCTTCATTTTCACCAGCCATTACTACCTTTTAAACCTGGAAGCTATTCTCTAGAAGTTTAACAGAAAAAATATTCTCTATTTATTTTACTTTCACGTTAAATATTTTACCTGAAATGCAACAACACTATTTATAGCTACACTCCTAAACTATTAAACCTATCTATATCAGGCTTAAAATGCGGGGTATTCTAAAACCCCATTTCATATCCCATTCTTTTCCTCAACAATAAAAATAGGATTTACTTTTAATAGGAAAAAACCTACCAGTGGACAGTCCTCAACTGGACAAGCTCTTCTGACTTCCACAGGGATGTGCTGGTCCTCAATAATGTGGCATTCATATTTGACACATGGTTGATTAGGTGGGTTCCAGGTTTCATCAGGCTAAAATATTGTTAAAGAAAATAAAAATTGTAGAAATGTAACAAAAGTGCATTCTAAATGTTATTGTTGTAGTACTCAGAAAAGCAATCAAAGTTGCCTATTTGGTTCTATGGATTGAGTCTCTGTTCAATTCCCTTCCACATTCTATGTCCCTACAAATCTCCATACTGTGTGCAGTTCAGGAATTATCTGATATGTCAGGAACATATCAGATATTTTTATTATTATAATTAAAGGAAGGCTGATGCATGGATGATGGAATCCTAGAAATAATATAGGACATATACATTCAAAATTGTCATATTTTTGCACAGTGGCATTGATTTAGCAATCTGTACCTGCAAAACCTGTGTAGTATTGTCCTTCAGTTTTATTACACAAGCCAATGGTATGGTACACACTGACCACAGCATTCCCCTTCAGCCTTTTCATATTTAGTGCCCTGAGAAAACAAACATTAATTGGGAATTGAACCAGTACAAATACATTTAAAACACAATTATTTCTGGAACAATTATTTTTGAGCAATACACTGCTTGCAAAAATATTCCATGTAATATAGCTGTTTTTTTAAAACCTCTTCCCCCCTGCTATTTCTTTACCTTTTACTGGCTGCAGTTTCTACAAAAAATGGCAGTTGCCAGGCTATCTGGCTGCACAATGGTAATACAGGAACTGGTCTAGGGAAGGGATTCAGAAAAACATACTGGCTATGCTCCGCCCACTCAGTAACACCTACTACATGATCTGTAACTATATTATTGCTATAGATGAGAGATTGTTCTACACTGTTCTTACAGGAGCTTCTGTACACAATGGCCACAGGTATGCCCCTGCTACCTAGTACCAGTTATCAGTAAGGGAAACTGCAGAGCAATGTCAAATTCAAAGGTTTGGAATTAACGAGCAATCCATATATTTCACAACATAACTGAGCATCACAAATAGAAACAGAACTTTACTGGCTAAAAGATCAGCTTTAAAAAAAAGTGCACATTGCTGAAGTCATAAAATAACTGAAACTCTTTAATAATTTGTAGTATACTAATCTAGAATAAAGTAGTGTCATTTCATTTTTTCCCAGGATGATGGATGTTGTGGTCTTAAGACCAAATTTAATTGTCATCCTCTTGTATAGACCTCAAAGACTTTTTGATTTTCTTTTATTTCCAGCATGTTATTGCTCTTCATGTTTACCTTGCACTCAATGCTCTAGCCTTGTTACAAACCTGAAAACTGACCATTGCCACTGAGGATATTAGGTACACATTAGAGAGCCATTCAAGGATTACTTGAGTTGCTGTTGCATTCAGTATGTCTTGTATGGGAAAGCAAAGCAAATCAAACATCTAATGCAGCTTTGAATCTGGAATCTGACAGATAACTGTGAAAAACTTTTTAGCAGTTGTGGAAAAGAGTGGTTCAGAATCATCAGCAGGCTTGTTCCAAGATCAACAGATTACAGGCAAAAAAAAAAAAGCATGCAGTAGTGCAGTACAGCAATCTACTGAAATACTTAGTTGGAGGGCTGTGCTACTCGTAATCATTTTTATTTTCAACTGGAATTGACTTTCAATAGGACAATAAACCTACTGATGGACAGTCTTCAATTGGACAAGTTGTTCTGACTTCTGTTGGGTTGAATTGGCCCTCAATAATGTCACAATCATAACTGACATATGGTTGATTAGGCGGGCTCCAAGTTTCACCTGGCTATTTTTTGTTTAAGAAAAGAACATTAGGCATGTAAATACAATGTAAAATCCTCAGATACAAAACAATATTTAGGATCTATATTTCAGAATTGTAGTGCTATAAAAGTGGCCTATTTAGTCCTGAGGATAAAGAGTACCACCAGAATTGTCATCCTTGCTTAGGAGCCATAGATGCATTGCCTATTATAAAATCATTCATTGGCTCCACTAATACATCCCCTCTGACCCTTCATAACCTCAGGTTCTGGGACAGGATGAACAGTGGTGGTACTTTTGCCCCTGTCCCCGCTGTTCCCTCTTGGGGGTTTCCTGTGGTTCCCCCCTGGTGAAAATGTATCTTTTTTTAAACACTGGAACTTACAAGGGGATTTTCACTGCCATCAATTTCTTAGCCAGAATACTCTAATGCCCCTTATGGAGCTAAAATATAGATATGGATAGTTCCCTATGGCTGAATGACGTTATAGACAAACTCATCACTTCTTCACAAAGACGGCCTCCGGCCTCCAGCCCATGTCCTCCCTCACTTCCTTGGAATCTCTGTGTGTTGGCTCTGCTTCTCCTGGCCGGTTAGGTTCCATTTTTTATACAATGCTCTTATCCCATCTATCACAAAATCGGCCAAGGTTTGTACAGGGGTGGGAGAGGGACCTGGGTCATCGATTCTAAGACAAACAGCTGACCCTAATTTATTGCTTCATCCACAAATCATCCATGGATTCTAAAATGCAAGAAACTAGTTATAAAATTTTGTCCCGCTGGTACCGTACTTCTTTGCGCTTGAGCTCCATCTGCCCCAGTGTGTCCTCTCTGTGTTTGAGGGGGTGCGGGCAGACCGGTCACCTCTGACATCTTAGGTGGGAATGTCCTCTTCTGCAACATTTTTGGCAGTATGTTCGATCTCAAATCAAGGTTGTCACAGATATTAACTTACTTAATGATGCTGCTTATTTTTTGTTCGACCTTCCCTCAACATCTGTGACATATTATAAGACTGGTGTTCTGCCTCACCTACTAGACGCAGCCAGGAGACTAATACCCAAACACTGGAAGCAACCCAGGGTTCCCACTAGATTAGAATGGATTTCACAGGTGACTACCGGTAATATTCAAGAAGCTGAGGAATGGGTTGCTATGTGTTATGACTGATCTGACCATTTTTATGCCAAATGGGCTGTTTGGCTGCACTATGTTTCTCAGTTTACCACTGATCCAGACACCTGAACACAGTCCTCGTATGCTGCTCTACATGCTCATGTAATATAGTATTTCTCCCTATCTGCACTAAAGAACCTTTATGCCTTTATGTGCCAATTACATATGATGCTCAATACATTATCTGTGTTCCCCAGCTTGAGCCTATTGGTTAAAAAAAAGTGGGTGTGTTTACCCACTTTTGGTATTTTTGTGTTTGACCTGCTTGATGTTAAAGCCCTATCCGAGTGGCTGTTTCCCCCTTATTTGGATGTCAAACTGTGGTCTATGTATGTTTTTTTTTATGCTGAAAAATCCAATAAATAAAGATTATATCATAAAATTCATTCATTGGCAGTCTGTACCTGTAAAATATTTGTAGTATTGTCCTTTAGTTACATTATGCAAGCCACCTGTACACATGTACCACAGCATTCCCCTTCAGTCTTCTCACATTTGGTGCCCTGCGAGAAAGGAAGCATTAAAGCTGAAGTAATGGAATATGTAAAGTACACAAATAAATGGAGCTCTGTATCCATCAATAGATAATTAAATGTATTTTTTTTAATGCAAGCAATATAAGTACACACATTTGAACTGGTATCATCCTCTTGCAATGCCATGTATAATAGCATTCAGACTGGGGGAGGGAAAAGCAGTACAAGGAGACAATCTATTGTGCTGCAGCACAAGGAGTATGCTAAAAGAAAGAGACATCCTAGTGGCAGATAGATAATCTCACCAGTGTTCTGTTTTTCTATTTACTGTCCAATCGCAGGCTGGGGGCGGAACAAGACCTGTAAGTGTCACTGAATTGCAACCAAAAAAATCAGGTCTCATGTCCTGTTAGACAGGGCTGTGCTGTAAGGAAGTGCTGTTTAAATCTCAGTACTGCATGCAGAGAATACAAACCCTTTGACAGGTAAAACAGTTCTCCTATAGGTATTCCATGTGTGTGTTTAGCTGTTTGTCTGGGGTTTAGCTTTAATCAATATATGAATCCGTAAAAGAAAATGTAAATTATAATTCCAGCAGCATATTTCTTGAGCAATACATTATATATAGAAAATACAAAGGCTCCCACTTAATTAAACATCATAGAACAACTGAGAAAATGCATGATCTAAGAAAAACTAATAAATCCAAATTAGTATTAAATACAAAAAAAATAATGTATTTTGAATAATAAATATACGTCAATAAATTACCAAATGTGCACATATAGACATTATACATTATAATTACAATACATTATATATGTGGACTGACAGTTTTTTCTGAAAATGTCATTCCAGTGTTAATTCTGCGCCTTAAATACTTGACCTTAAATACATTTTAAACATGTTTTATTGTATTCCTAGCTTGCAATTTCTTTCACTGATTTTTTTTTTCCTATAATGTCCTTGCATTGTTACAATGTGAAAACTAATAATTACACCTAAGCCTATTAGATAAACATTAGAGAACATTTTTTATGCAACAAGCAAAAGCCACAAGCGTATTTGAGTAGCTTTTGCCTTTGCACTGACCTAATGCCTAAAATGTTTTTTGTAGGATAGGGTACCCCATCCGATTTGATATAACTTTATCAAACTAAGACAGCATGCTGGTCTTTAATAGTGCATAGTAATACGAGCATCAATCAAAAAGTAATGCCTCCATGTCTTAGATCTATTAGGGTGACTGTGAATGTTCATGTACAATGTTATAGAGATGTCCTTACCCCACTAATATATGTTTTTCTTTTTCATATTGAGTGAATAGAACCATGGATATGCTACTTACACAACTATCTGTAATCGAATTTCTAGTGAAAGTGGATTGCGCATCTAAAGAAATTCGTAATTGGCTAAAGAATGTTTATGGCGACGCTGATGTGGAATTTCGGTTTCTCCTTCTTGGAACTTTTTTACCCAACACCACACATTGTTAATATCCACTACAGCGTCCCCATAAGCACTAATCACTCAATCTGAAAAATAAAAGCATACATTAGTGGGGTAAGGATACCTCTATAACATGGTAAATGAATATTCACAGATCTCAAATTACAGACATGGAGGCATTACTTTTTGATTGATTCTCAAACTTTATAAAATTCAAATATTTGTATTTTATAGTTTTAAAAACAGTTTTGTATACCTGCAATCTATATTCACAATATTACATTTAAAGTCTGTGGGGGTGATTTACTAACCTAAACACACACACACACCAGGTGTGTGTGATTTTCACACAGAAAAACGTATTTATCAACCAAAAAGTCTCTAAAAGCATATTTCCACTAATGCCATATATGGAAAAATCATGCACATGATGCATATATAATGCTGCTTCACAGTTTAGACAAAAATGGTTAGCTCATGCATTTACATTCCTTGCATTCATCAACGCAAGCAACACAACATAGAGCTAATTTACCCAACATCACCTTGGAATTCCTTCAGGGCTTTGCACAACACACCTGCTGGGTGTGTACACATTACAAAGGTGTTTAGATTCCACCCATAGATCATGCTGGGAGGGAACACACTGCAGAGGTGTATACACGTTCGTGGTGTGTTTATAAGGTTAGTAAATCAACCCCTATGTCTCAATCTAACTCTGTACTAGCTTTGTTTTGTTAAGTATTACATTCAAAATCATACAGGTCAAACAAAAAACCCTGAATTACTTAGTACTTAGACTAGAATTCACTTTTTTTTTTTGAAAAACTTTTTATTGATTTTGAAGATGAAAAAACAAAAATCGATCCGTTATCGCGGCCATCTTGGAGGTGGCTGGTGATCTCTTGGCCCGTATCGGGGTGCCTCTACCTCGCGGTCCCGCGCGCCGTTTCGCTAGAAATTTATCCATGAACGGCGGCTAGGATGACGTTGATTCCGATGTGTTGGTCAATGTAGTGCCGGTATGCCAAAGTAAGATTTTATATAGGGTATATTGCCCTGACTGTGCGGGAGCTCTTTCCTCTGCGACCGCTACATCAGGCGCCGGAACCGGAAGTCTAGAATTCACTTTTAATTGGAAAATAAATCTACCTGTGGACAATCTTCAATTGGAAAAGCTCTTCTGATTTCTGTAGGGTTAAGCTGGCCCTCAATAATTTCACACTCAAACTTCACACATGGTTGATCAGGGGGGGCTCCATGTTTCACCAGCCTACATTTGTTTTTAAAGGAAGAACAATATTTGTGTAAACAAAATAAATAAAACAACATACAATACAAAATACAAAAATACCAGATTTAAAATCTAGAGCATAGTAACCAGTGTGGTACATTTGGACCTGAATACAAGCCATCATACTGGATGCAGTTTAGAACTTTTGCAATTGCTTTGAATTGTAATATCATTTAAAGTATGTTTTACAAGTCTACAGTTCCATGTACAACATGGAACAACCACCAGCACATCAGAGGGTTCCTTCAGTTGCGCATAAGCAACATTTTTGACTGAGCTTCGGCACCACTCAATCTGGTCATTCAGATACAGCTCCTCCCCTCCTGCCTCCTTCACTTGGCTTTTTGCAGCAGGCAGTTTCAACTGCTAACTTTTTTACAGGAGGAAGTGCACACCAAGGTGGCGATGTCACTTCCTATGGTGACATCAGTGCTGTGGGGAATACTCCATTAACCGCTATGAAAACAAGGAACACAAACCGAGAAGTAATGGTCACATGACTGCAAATAGAAAGTAGGAAAAACCGCAAAAGGTAATTTTAGCCAGATTTCATATAAACCAGTGGAATAGCGTGATAAGGTAAAGTTAGAGCTAGCTTATGGGACATTAGTGTGATGATGATATTCCAGCTACTGTAAGGTCCATTAAAGCTATTGCATAGAAGATGGAATCCCAGGAATGACTTACGACATATACCACTAGAATTTAAATCATTGCTTAGGTTCCGATGCTTTAATCAACCATCGACAGTGGCTATAACCGCAAAAGCATTTGTATAATTGTCTATAAGTTTCATTATGCAACACATAAAGCTTAAGGTAAGCATAAGGAAACCCCAAGTGTCTACCTTAAAGAAGTTGTGCTTTTTCCATGTTGCATTTGAACCCCTCCGATTTACAGTATTTAAAAAAAAAAAACATTGGTACATGTCTCCAAGGGCAGTTCCCAGCTCTCAATGTTTTTTTTTTTACAGTAGTTTTTCTTTTGGCCCTTAAAATGGCCAGCATTTTCAAACAGGATTCACGCCTCATAGATGTCAATGAGAATCACATAGATGTCAATGGGAATTCAGATTCCATGAATTTCAAACAGGATTCACCGAACCATTAGCAGATCGAACTCAGGCAGATTTGTTTTTATATTCATACTCCTCCGCCCTCTCAGTGCTACCCCAGTCATGTGTTATTGTATTTTGCTAGAATGTAATGGTAGAGTTAGGGTGAAATGAAACACAACAAGGTTGTAAAATGCTTAAAATATTGTTTTATTTAAATCAGATTCTGTGCTCTGGAGATACACACATTATCCTCTAGACTCAATGGCCCACCAGAAAGAATGTAGAAGCCTATCACAATTTTCCATTCAAATAAATAAATACAGCAGAGTTCCCAGCCTCAGAAAACACAGGTTTAAAGCAGAACTAAACCCTATTATCCTTTACATCTGAAGGTGGTGCCATCTTAGCCTCTGTTTAGATCTGCAGTTGCCATTGCTCTGCATGCATGATCAGCCATGACATCAGCCATTTGAGGGCTTGAAAGAGTGGTTGAGGACTGACATAAGCTCACTGGCATCTACAACAGTTATCACTAGAGGCATGCCTTGAATTTGTGGGTTTCGTTCTGCTTTAAGAATAAAAATTAAAACAAAAATGAAAAGTAAAATCCTTCATGTTCACCCGTTAATGAAATCTAGTTTAGCCAACTAGATTTATCGAAATATATTTACTCTGTAAACAGAATCATATTTTCCCAAAGCGACAGTATGGTTGCCTTCATTTAGTGAAATGCAAAATGGACCTGAGATTATATTGTCTTATTGTCTATTGGTCAGGGCTTATTCAACAACTTTTTAAAATGGGAAAATAAAATAGAGAAAAAATAGAAATATACCACAGAATCTGCATGCAAGGATGCAAGTATACTGTGTTATAGCTAATTATAGGAAGTGATGCAAAAAGCAAAGTTTGTTTAAAGGTAAACCTAGCAATAGTTAGAAATCCCATGTCATATCTAAATTAAAAGGGCAGTTGGAGACTTCATTGAGGAGATGTTGGCAGTCAGGAAGCAAAGCAAGGCCCATTGGACGAGAATATTCTCCAGAGCATGTATATGTTTTTTGATGTCATTGTTCATTTGTTTGCTTGCTGCTGTTGTTCCTGACTGACAGTTTGCTGTTCTTCCTGTGATATGGAGGTCTGAGTGCCATTATCACATTCTGTGGTGGTACAGCCACACTCCTCAGCATAGAGGTAAGTGTAGACAGTACTGGTTCCATCCAGACATTTCAGATTCACTTCCTTCTTGCTTGTTTTTACTTCTTGACAACAGCTGCACTTGTGCTCCATTATGTTAGATTCAGCAGAGTACCTATGAAAAGGTCAAATTGTGAGATTGTGGGTGCAAGAACAATGATTCGATCTTTCCAATGATAATAATCAGATTAGGAAGAGAACATGAGTCTATCCAATAAAAAAATGAAAAAAGTGAAAACATGCATACATGTAACTCTGAAGCCATCATAGGCAAAACACCCTTTATAAAGGGTTATCCAATTTGCTCCAACATCCCCTAAGCTATTCCCTGGATCAACAATCTATGTTTTTATACTTATATATAATATTAACTAGTTATTTTCTGTGCATTTAGAAACATGTGCAGTTTTTTTAATACAATCAGGAAAGCTGGCTAGAACTAGAACAGTTATAACAAAATGCTTTCAACTGTATATTTAACAGACCGATCTGGTCTGGTTTACCCTTCTAGGGTATACATTTTAAGCTTTGAAAATGTTCTCATCTTGGAGTAAGCATTGCTAGCAGAGTGTCTGTAAAGGGTACTTTTAGATCACTTTTCAGTGTAGATATTTTACTAAACATATCATAACAACAGTATCTTACATGGACGATGTCATACAGCCACCACCACAGTATGAAAGCTCCACAACTTGATCTGATTCACAAGCTCCAGACTTGATTTGACGAGACTGTTTATGAGCCTGGCATCCTCTTAGGGCAACTATAAAGCAAATCACCAAGAATGTTACTTATAGTGAATATATGGCAGCAGTCATGAAATATATCTGAATATTAACAACACTGTGAATGCCGAAAATCAGTTAATATTATATGATAAAAATTATTATTTTTTCTCCAAAATGTCATCTTTTGATAGCATTTAAATAAGGGCTTATATGAAAGCAATTGCCATTCCTAATCATTGATTGACCAGCAATCACTCAGAGAATTCCTCCAACTGTAGCCACAGATAAAGAAAACAAAATCTCCAGGTCACTTTGCACCCCTAAGGGTGTTGCCATTATGAATATTAATGAAGGTAGGGAAGCTTGTGCAGAAAGAAAGCAAAGCATTGTGGAAAAGGAAATATTGCACACCCTACATTGTAGTTTCCACTGTGCACAACAACCTGTGATCTACACTAGCACAGCACAGAGGCAGCTATTTAAAAAAAAGCCATGTGGAGACTGAGAGGGCAACTAAAAAAAAGTATGTTTTTGTGTTTCTATACAGCAACTGCATATGCCTGGTTCATGTACACTTGGTGTACATTGCTGGCATACCTTAAGTTAAGTTATTCATGGACATTATTTAACTTGAATTTGATACTGGAGATTTTGAAATGTTCATCTAATAATTATACAGTGTGTTGAATAAGAAACCTCACAAAAGTTGAGGCACTAAAAGGAACGGAAATATTATGTGTACATATTGGTGTATTATTACTCAATAGACAGGCAAAAATAAGCCTGCATTTTTGGTTCACAACCTATGCACAGGTCAAGGGTATATGTGTGTTGGGTGTAAAGATCTTTTTTTTATCTGTTATCCTCTGACTGTTCATCTTTAGCCTCATTTAGTATTTCTACTCCTGTCTCAACAAGTATTATCTAAAAAGGCACTCACCATCACAAGTCTTGCAGCAGCCATCTTCTGTAGTCCTGATTGTACCCTACAAGTTAAAAACAGAAGACTAGTAACCATTTTATCACTTGCAAGGATGTTGCATTTCTTGCATAGTCCCTATTAAACATTCTAAGGATAGTAAGCAAGTGTAGACTGTATTAAGAAAAAACACAGTCCAAAATACCTGCTCTTTAATCATTTTACATGCAGGTAATAACTAGCTGTACACCACATTAAATCACTAACATGATCTATATATGCTTGAGTTCTGTAATTTGGTGGTGAATATTGGCTATTGCCAACACCCATGGACCTGCAATCTGCATTTCAAGATTCCCAGTGGCATAAAACTACGTCAGGCAAAGGTGTCTGATGCTTTTCATTTTTGCCATGAGCAATACGCTGCTCGTAGTACTATAGAAAAGGGGTCAGTTATAGGCAATGTGTCACAAAGAACTGTGTTCAGACTCAGACCCATAAAAGGGTCCCTCCCACAAATGCCATTAACTGAAAATACCTGATTGGATGCTGCTGGGACCTTAATTTTTTTTTATCTTTATTAGGGGGACATCTGCAGTGGCACAATCTGAAGTGAAGCCATTAAGAAAATGTCCTGTTACATAGGCAGGCTAGCTGTTTCTCCTAAAATATAATCCCCACGGTAATTCTTTACCACTTCCTGTCTGCATTTTTGCCCAAGAAATGGCTATAGCCAGACTGTCTGGCTAGAAAAAGGGAATACTGGCACTGTGATGGGTGTGAGATTCAGAAACATACATTAGATATGATCTGCCCATTCAGGACACACATCACAATGCCTGTAAATGTAATGTTACTGAGAGATGGGGGTATGCCGGTGACTGCTCCGGTCTCTTTCACAGGGGCTTCTGCACACAGTGGTCACAGGCATTACCTGCTTCCCCATACTGACTGTCACTAAGAGAAGCTGCAAAGAGTTTTCAAATAAAAGAGGTTTATAAATTAACAGGTAATTCACACCATCATTTTACTAGCTACAGATCAGCTTTAAAAAAGTGCACATTGCTAAAATTGTATAAACTTAGAGTCAATATTTATCTTGACTGAAATTCTGTACACATTTGAGGTATACTAGTCTAGACTAAAGTAATGTTGGTGTATTTTGTTTGAAATATTAGTTTCACTTTTGTATACATTTTTAGTAGCAATGGCAAATTGCTAAAAAATAGTACACATTACATGGATACAAACCTCCAAACAGTCTTTAAGATTGAAAGCCTGGCATGTTGTGGTTTTTTCTTTAGTATCAAGGGAGCTGGTACATTCGAATGAGGAACATTTGTCTTCTGGTGGAACGTACACTTCTCCAGGCTAAAAAAATACAAGTTACTACTGAAACATGTTCACAAACAGGGTAAGGGATTTTCCTTCACATACTTTGGTAAATTAGACCCACTTTTCCATGTGCTGGAAGAGGTCATCAGATGTCTGCTTATGTATAAAGATAATTCACCACATATACATACCAATGCAAATCAGAGATAGAAGCTGAGTAACAGATCCACAGAAATAAACTCTAAACCCAATCATAGTCTACAATACAAATTATATTGATTGGAGCAAAATTCACCATATTTATTCCCAGATAATTTTTCTACAAGTCATTCTGAATTGAGAAAGCTAGTCAGAGGACCAGTTAAATGTTTTCAATAAAAATACAGCAAGTCCAGTTGTCTTGATTTATTCTTAACAGACAGTCTACCATACAGTTTCTACATCATATTTGATTGCATTGACGGCAAAGCAGTATTTTTTATTTTAATAAAATAAAAAATGTAGAAGTGATTGACTTGATTTGATCTTAAAATGACAGTGATTTTTCTGCTTCCTTATAATAAAAAAACGTATAAAATTACAATGACAGCAGCTGTACCTTCAGGATTTGTGTAGAGTTGTCCGGCATTTTCATAACACATGCTACCTTTACACAATGTCCACAGCACTCTCCTGGTGTTGTCTCATATTTGTAGCCCTGCAACAGCAACAACAGGAAACATTCAATCCCGTAGCCTCAAATATAATCACTGAGATGTTATTGAGAATTTTTCACTCTAGGCACACAGTTTCATATGTTTACAAATCTTATTAATGTTGTCTTTTTCCAGGATAATGGACATTCTGGTCAAAATAACTATCATAATGACCAGATTCAATTTTCAGACTCTTGCATAGGCCTCATAATCTTTTTGAAAAATGTTTTCTCTTCCCCTAATACCCCTCCATTGTTACAAACCTAAAAACTGATCATTACCACTAGGCATATTGCATAAACATTAGAGATAAATTTCAGCCTGTTCTAAGTGTCTTTTGCATCCCCACCGATTTGAATGAAAACGAAAAGCAGATTAAGCTTCCAATGCAGCTTTTAGTGGCATTTAATTTACATCAGAATTTCTGTGTGGAAGAGGCAACATATGTGTTCCATCATCAGCAGCAGGTGCTCTCCAGGATCAACAGATTACAGACATAGGGAAATAATAAACTAGTGTAGTATCACAGTGTCTGGATGAAAAACTGAATTACTCAGTAGGAGGGTTGTGCTTCCTGTAAGAATTCAAATTTAAGGCATAATTTAGACTATAATTCACTTTTAATAGGAAAATAAACCTACCAGTGGGCAATCTTCAATAGTACAAGCTCTTCTGACTTCTGTTGGGACGAACTGGCCCTCGATAATGTCACACTCATATTTGACACATGGTTGATCAGGTGTGCTCCATGTTTCACCAGACTAATTTTTTTAAAGAAAAGAACATTATGTATGTTAATACAAAGTAGAAATCTCAGATACACACAAAAATTATTTAGAATCAAATAATTTTGTAATGTATTACAGCTATTTATATAGCACCAATAATTTATGCAGCTTTACATAGTTGCACATTTAAATCAGATTTAGAATCTTATTATCAGCGTTGTAGTGCTATAGAGTGGCCTGTTCAAAGTAGATAGAGTCCCACTCTAGGCTTTGGTAATTGCTATGCATGTCATATAATTTAAACATATGTTTTGCAGTTCTACATTTCCAAATGTCTGGACAGAACTTGAGGGAAAGGAAAGCTTCTGCATGGACAATGGAATCCCAGAAATGACATATAAAACCAGAACTGTCATTCTTGCTTATGTACCTGCAAAATCTTTGTAGTATTGTCCTTCATTTTCATTATGCAAACCACCTGTACACATTTTCCACAGCATTCCCCATCAGCCTTCTCCAACCTGAAGCCCTGTGAGGAAGGAAATATTAAGTATTTGAATCAGTACAAATATATTTAAAACATCATTATTTCTGGAGTGTGGCCCTCTGCTTGTTACAACCCTAAAAAATCATGTTATTACAATTGAATGTAAGATAAACCATAAATTGACTTTGCCACTTTAACAACAAAAAGGCTGCTGACATGTATAAAGTGGAGTATAAAAAAAAGGTGTGGAGCACTAGATCTCTAAAGGTGCCTATACACCTTACGATTATCGGATGATTTCCGTATGCGATCGCGTTTTTCGTCCGATATTCGTAAGGTTGATGGGCAGTGTACAACTGCAAATACTGTACAATCAATCAAATTTTGACTATCCAGCAGGTTAGAAAACTTCAGTTGATCGTACCATTTTCGCTAGGTTGCTGGCGTTTCAAAATTTGTTTGATTAACACTGCTCATGCGCAAATGAAAATACGTGCGGTCAATTACCGCAATTCGTCCAGGTGTTTTTTTCACTACAGGCTGATTGAATCTTGCGATAATTGGAGCAGGATGGGGCAGCCGTATATAAGCACACACATCTCAATAGAGGATCAGTGGGACATAACAATGTACACTGCACTCAGAAGCAAGTCAAATGCAGTATCCCTTCTGGTGCTTCTGAATTGTTTTGATCTGCCTTTGAGTTGCTCAAGGGGTCTTTAGGCAATTCATGAGATGTTTCAAGCTTTTTCAAGTTGCTTTTGCTTATTTTTGTATTTACATTGTTTGTAAGGCAGCAGCTGAGATAAAATCAAAAAGCTCCTTTTTGCCAGCAGAACTAATTACATTCAAATTTTCAGAGCCGGTTTATTTATGATCGGTGGCTGTAAAAAAACGTTTTCGTTTTTTACATATTTTCTATAGACATGCCAGTCAAATATAATCATCAGTAGAACCAAATTCACTTTTCATCTCCTGCATAAACCTTAAAGACCTTTTAAATACTGCTAATTTTTTTAACATAATGTTATTGCTCTCTTTTTTTAACCCCTATTGCCCTTCCCTAGTTAAAAAGCTGAAAACTGTTCTTTACAACTGATTATTTACAATCTAACTGTCTGTGAGAAACTTCTCAGTAGTAGTATTTATTTTACATCAGGCTTTGTGGGTGGGAGTAGCAGCATGAAGGGTGTTCCAGCATCACCAGCAGGTGTATTTCAGGATTACCAGGTTCCACACAAAAGGAAGTGGCATAGAGTAATACAGTACAGAAATGTTGGGATGAAAAATGGTACTACTCGGTAGGAGACCTATTATCCTTGCATAGGTATCAAAGTTTAATTTTTCATTTAGACTGGAATGTGCATTTTAAATGAAAATAAAACCTACCAGTGGACACTCTTCAGCTGAGCATTGTGTTGGGATTTCCACAGGGATGTATTGGTCCTCAACAATTTCGCACTTATATTTCATACATGGTTCATTGGATGGGCTCCATGTTTCACCAGGCTAATATTTTTTTTAAAGAAAAAAATATTATTTATGTAAATTAAAGCACAAACATCAGATACAAGCGACAAAATGTACAATATAATTTGCAGAGTCATGAAGTTGTTAGCTTTCTGGCTCATGTGGTCCACTACAATTCCCTACACCATTTCCTACCACTACATGCCTTTGTTCTGGAATGCAGTTTAGGGCTTTTATAAATGCCATGATTTATATAGTTTAACATATTCTCCCTTTCCCCCTTTTCTCCATTGGAGAAAAGGGAGAAAGCAAAACCAAGTAGTACTTTCATGGTAGGCACAGTTTTCTGTGGGCTAAAGAAAAGGTAGAATCTAAAGTATGCCATGGTGTCTCATTGATTGGTGGGCATGATAAATGAAATCTCAAAGCCAAAATGAAGGTCAGTGCTGGAAGACCTCCCTCTGCCAGACAGTGTAAATGCAGGTTTGAACCAGGGTTAGGTTGCTATACTGTATAATGTTAAGCACGTGTCACGGAATGCAGGTCCTACTTTTATCTAAGTCTGAATTATATAGCATCTTCAGCCAGGTCAACCAGCCCGATATTTGTTATTAGCGCAGGCCTGGGGGGTGAATGCTCCTCCTTTTTCTTCCTGGCCCAGTCTTTCCAACAACCAATCATAATTCTGCTTTTATTGATCTGGCATTAATAGACTGAAATTTAACTGGTGGGCTTGTTCACCGCACCAGATCTGGATGAGTTTCTGCATATGCAGTGCAGTGTTTTTTGACGCATTTTTGACGTGTTCCGGTCCATTTTTTTTCTTAGGCTAAAATGGGCTTTCAAGTGTAGTCCAGTGCGTCCCAAGGGTGTTTGCATGCATTTTGTATGTGTTTGCATGTGTTTTGGTGCATTCCAGAGCATGCTGTGGTGTGAACTAAAGCCCAAAATACCATTGGAATACATTGGATGCATTTTTGATCCGTTCTTAAGCTCTGCATCTGCTCCGCACTTGGCGTGAACAAGCCCGGTAACTACAGGTTAAAGTATTGAATCAAAGCCTAATTTCTGTATCAATTGCCTGGTCAAATGTCCCTGCTTCTTTCCATGAAATTGTTATTTCTAATGGCTTACATGAATGTGTCATATTGTGGATGAAATAACACTAAAAGTAACAGAATCCAAATTTGAACTCAAAACAGTACCAGCAAAATGATTCATAATATCATTCAAAATATCACTTATTCATCAAGCTGTACCTGAATAATCTGTGTAGTATTGTCCTTCAGTTTCATTACGCAAGACACCGGTACACAAATGCCACAGCAACCCCCCTTTGTCTTCTCAAAAGTAGAGCCCTGAGAGAAACAAATCATTGTTTAACATTTTGAACCATCAAAATTACTTTACAAATATACTATTTTTGGAAAGTGTTATGCTTACCAATGGACAATCTTCATCACTAGAAACAGCACATTCCTTGGTTGTGGTGTGGATGATTAAATGGTCTGCATCCTGGACACATTGGTGGTAAGTACAGTTGTCATCAGAGGAGCTCCAGGTCTCACCAGACTAGAAAGCAAGATGAAATATTGATAAAACTGTTAATATAATTCATTTGGTTTAATCTATTTGCTGTTCTAACTGTTAATTAATGAGCAAATAAGTACTGAATACTTTGGGGGAGAATTCCCCGCATAAGGAGTTTTAATTCCAACAATTAATCTGCACATTCCAGCTATATAAGGTATTGCAGCATGTCAGTTATAAACAATTCTAAATGAAAAGCAAACCAAACTCAAATAAAATAAGGTAAACATAGTAGCACATTACAGTAAGGGTTTATGTCAGACCATAGCAGCTGCAAATGTCTTTGCTTGTTCTCTCTGGCACTTGGTAGTGTAACTAATTGTACCTAATTACAATGCTGAACAATCCAGCGAGCTATCACTGGTGTTCTATGTTAATCAGCAACTGTGTTGGGTAACATGAGTTGGTTAATCTGTGGCTAGCTACAAAATCTACAAAAAGTCAATCGCTGGGCTGAACTATAAGTGGAAATTTCTGTAACACTAGCTTTACACTTCTTTGCTACTTTGTCTGACATTGCTCCTTCCCCTTCCTTCACCCTCCTTTTTTTTAATGAATACCTTTTTTTATTTTACAAAATAACTGGAGCTTCCACCTTTCTTCCCTAGGTGAGAATGACATAGCTACAGCTGCCATCCTGCATCTAACGAGATGATCTATGCCACAGTGCACATGCACCATACAATCTACTCCACACTGCACATGTGCTGTGATCTGCCATCAGGGGGCCCAGTTGGAAGAACCATCAAGTTGCAGCTAGGCCCCTGGTGATGTAATAAGAGACAGAGGCATTAAGGGACCCAGGGTGCAGCAGCACAGGGGTGTATTTCACCAGGCAATGCTGAATTTGCTGGGCATGTGAATATGTTTTTTAAAAATAACCCAGCAGACAAGGTAAGAGAGGTAAGAAAAAATTTGAGGGGGTAGTGACGTTCCCTTTTATTTGCAGTTAATTTTTTCTTTTAACATTTAAGAAGAGCAATTCTGAAGCTGCTACAAAATGCTAGTGTACCTAATAGACCACCTTAGTTTTACCAAGGCCTGTTTGCCACAACAGTAAAAACATTGGCACACCAATTTTATAAACATCATTCTATTAATATATGTCAACATTTAGTTGCTGCCTGGGTCCACATTTGGGATAGTTTCCTTCACATCATATCTATATAAAAGGTGTCAGACAAGCTAAGACATAATATAAATCTCCCCAACAAGTACACAGGCAGCAGTACACACTATTCTCCAGTGGAGCAGGGAAAATTAAAATACTCTGTCATGAACAAATTGTTGTCTGCATTTCTATTGGGAAAATGTCCCCTCACTTCTTGTCCGCAAGAACAGAAAGGGAAGACAAATCCCCTCAATGATGTCCCATTCTATCCAAACTTGTAAAAAAAAAAAAAGCTTTGACTGGAGTTGAGCTTTCATTTAGTATTGCTCTACAAGGTAGTAACATCAAAGAAAAGAAAGGTATCTACCGGATAAATCATAATCTCATCATTTTTCATCTTCATTATACAATCAACCTGTACACAGTGACCACAGCAATCATGCTCATCCTCCACGTATTTGAAGCCCTAAAACAGAGAATTACAAGCATTAAGAGACTCTATAGGAAGATTATACTGTATTTGTTGTTGTAAAGGCTGCAGACTAACCTTGTCGCATTCCTTTTTGCAGGAAATGGGTGTGCAGTTCACCGAGTGTAGTAAGGTCAATGCATCTATGTCATACGAGCATACACACTCATGACAGGAATCTGGAACTTGAGGTATTACATGTCCAGGCTATGAATCAAAATAAAAAAAATGGGTTAGATTCCATATTATGGCATAAGATTTATTTGTATAAACATTTACAATAGTGCTGGATCAGATGATTTTGCATAAATTCATTGAAAATACGTGTAATACGTATTAAAAAAAAGACCTCATGTATTAAAGTGTCTCAATAAGACTCTTCCTTTGTTTAAAATAATCCAATCACATGCTATTTAACTCTGTATTAACTCTTGGTTAACTCTAGCCTGAATGAACTCCTTCCTTACCTTCTTCTCTTAGCTGTTATTAAGTCCATTCCAAGACCTTATAAACAGCTGCTGGGTGTTAAAATTAGGGGGCTGACAGTGTACCAAGATTCTAGTGCAATGAATTATTGGTAAAACAATAGGCCTATAGCCATTTATAGGACTAAATGTAAAGGTGCCCATACACTGCTCGATTCTCGTACGAGAATCGAGCAGTGTGAACGAAGACGTGCAACCGTTTCTACTGTACGGTTGCACGTCTTTTGTCGAACCAACATGCTCGAAAACCCGCCGAGAATCGTACGATTGTCGGCAGGTTTCTAGCCTGCTCGTCCGATAGCTGCGGAGCGGGCCAGTGTGCGCACACTGCCCGTTCTGCATTGCGGTCATCGGAAGCCCGCCCCTCAGCGGGGCGGGCTTTCGATGATCGCAAGTACGATCTGCCCATCCAAGGTGGGCAGATCGTACGACCTTTCAATAAGCATACGACCATCGCAAGACTTTTGTCATAAGGTGTATGGGCACCTTAAGAAATGCACCAGTCCATTAGGCATATACAGGTGAGAGGAATGAACTGGTTAAAGCGGATATCAGGCTGTTTTGCAATTCATGATTCAATACAATACATAACTGAAGTTCAGCTAAAGGCAAAAGGCTTCGCATGACAAGGGAAAGTATTAAAACCTCTGTTTATATCTCTGTCTGTCTCCTTAGTGACCATAATTCTCACCAAAACATAAAGTAAGGGTAAACCTTCCAATGGGCAAACGTGTTCTAGTGGTAAATGTCTAAAAGTGGATTTCTCCACATTTTTTGATATTTCCCCTCACTCCCTATTGTGTCTCTGGGACAGGAAGTGTAGAACAATCTCCCCAGCGATTCCCAGACAGCAACAAAATAAACACAACAAATGTTTTAACCTTTACTTATTTATAACTAATTAAAAAAGTAGTTTTACTATTAGATATACTTTATGTTTATGTTGCTATATCTTAATAACACATATCATTATAGCCATATCATTATAACACATTTCTGGGTTTTTCCTCAATAAAACTTAAATATTTGCTGTCCAGAGACTTCTTACCTTATAAATTTCATCATGGAAAACACAGACTGGCATTACACCTGAGGTAAAATGTGAGAATATTTGAGTATATTCATATTGTGATGATATATTCAGCTTTGTTTTTTTACACAGCAACTCTGAATAATTACTAATTAGGTTCTAAAATTAGTTTTTACATGGTAAAATAGACTTCAACCATTAGTAATTAGTTTAACTCAATATAGTTACAATATTATCTTAGTTAAAAGAAAACTTAGCTCTTAGGAACCTGTGATGCCGGGCCAGCATCCCGCTCAGCTACCATGCACCCCACTCCCACCCCCGGTAACATGCACTGCCAGCGCCACCACCCCCTTTCCCTGCCTCAGGCAGCAAAAATTGTAGGGGCACTCCTGGTTTCTAACCATTGTTTAATGCAATGTTCAGATATTGTGCAGTCAAATGCAGGTAAGAAGTCCTCTGCTCTCCTACAAGGTGATGTGCACTCAGGACATTTCTCTCAAATATTCAATGCAGCTATTTTATTAAATGCATATATGGTTAAATAATAAAAATCTCATTAAAAAACAACTGTGATGTTCCGAGAAATAGCAGGTTATTTTTTAAGCGTTGAGTATATCTACTTTGTGAAATTATAATTAAGTACTTACTGCACTCATATTTTGGGCAGCAGTCACCTTCCAGAAATACAGGGATAGCTTCAAAACCAATAGCACACTTCTTTTCTTCATGCAAGCAGTAGGTACTGTTACATACTATGGGCATACAGATCAAACATTAGCATTCATAAAGCAGTAGATAGAATAATCAGCGATTAGATCTGATATAAGATACAGGTAAGATGTTTACTTACCACACTCAGTCTGCATACAGCATGGTTGTTCTGGGTTTGGCCGAGTGACAGGGATGAAGCCTTCCATTTCACAGGAGATGGGTGTTAATTTAGGACAAGACAGTTGCTCACACTGCACAGTGAGGGAATTTGGTTCACAGACACATTTCTGGCACCCACTAGTCCAGGTCTCTCCAGGCTGTTTATATATAAAAGATCATTTAATTCTATGTTCACCATGAGTGCGGTAATTTTTGACATCTATATACATTTACTCTGTGCCTGTGTAATACTAATATCTCAGGTAGCCTGCAGTAACTATATACTGTAACTATATGTTTATCCAATGGTATTGTGAACAAGGGGTCAAAAAATAAATGGGTTTTATATAGGGATGTCCCCATACAGATATTATTATTTTTTTTACTGTATCACTTTTACTGCAGGAAGTTGTAACACAATCTTATGTATAAAAAGTGTTGCAAAGGTAAACTTTTTGTTGTTCATTGTAACCTATCAGCTTCCAACTTTTTCCACTTTTCATGAATCAAAACATTTCCCGCACAGAAAAGGTGAGCATGCAAAGTAGGGGTTAAGTTTAAAGTGTTTGTAAAGCCAATATATCTTATTTTTTTAGTTTTAGATTGAGTATAGAAGGGCTGCTATCCTTATCAGGTTACTTTTTTGCTGTCTGTATTTTAACATATTTTTAACACTATTATCAGAGGTTTTAACAGGAAATTACATGAAGTGAAAGGAATTACTAGGCTAGAAAGTTATCAGAGTAAGAGTAAGTGTGTAAGTGTTTATGCTCATATCTCTTACTAGGCTAGAAAGTTATCAGAGTAAGAGATATACCCATCGGAGGATTTTCTCTTGCCTCTTGCTCTGACAAGTCTAACATTTTGGGGTTGATTTACTAACCTTATAAACACACCACGAACATGTATACACCTCTGTAGTGTGTTCCCTCCCAGCATGATCTATTGGTGGAATCTAGACACCTTTGTAATGTGTACACACCCAGCAGGTGTGTTGTGCAAAGCCCTGCATGAATTGCAAGGTGATGTTGTGTAAATTAGCTCTACATTGTGTTGCTTGCGTTGATGAATGCAGGAATGTAAATGCATGAGCTAACCATTTTTGTCTAAACTGTGAAGCAGCATTATATATCCATCATGTGCATGATTTTTCCATATATGGCATTAGTGGAAATATGCTTTTAGAGACTTTTTGGTTGATAAATACGTTTTGCTGTGTAAAAATCACACGTACCTAGTGCGTGCGTGTGTTTAGGTTAGTAAATCACCCCCTTTGTCTCAGTGCAAATGGTCAACAGGACAAATAGAGTGGTGAGCCTCTCCAGCAGGGAGATCAATGGATAGCAATAAAAGTTAAACAAAGGGACTAATACCTATTTTCAAATGATAGCGTTAGGGTTACTTGGAATGTTAACACGTGAGGGGTAGAGATAAAGATGTGTTACGGTTGCAAGGAGGAGATATGTTAGCAGCACACAAACAAGCTTGTTTAACATTAAAAGCAATTTTTTCTTGTATGATCATGTAGAAAAACAAGCATGTGAGGAAGGATCACTGTATGGTCCCAAGATGTTGGTGTCCTATGTGATGATACAAGAATAAATGGCTTTAGAAACAAACTTGGTGGTGTGCTGGAGACATATCTTATCCATCTGATACAACATGACCAGGAGATGTTGCAGCACCTTCTTAACCACATGGCTGATTCCAGTATGGCGTATGAGAGAAATATAATCTATGGTTAAAAGAAGAGTTGCTTTAACAGTTTGTGTTATGCTTACTGGGAGGGTTAGAATGAGTAATAAGTAGGGTTAGTCCAAGGTAGGTCTTAGGCTTTGCTCATGGAGCTGTGTCCTGAGAATTACCAGTGCCACTAAAAGTGAATACATCTGACTTTCACATACATCCTGCCTTGAGCAACTAAAAAAGTACTAATTTAAAGGAAACTTAACATATTCATATTGTTTCAGGCATTTCAATATGGTGTTTTTCAATGATTAAGTCCAACTTACATATTTGGGCATTCCATCAGGACCAACACAAACTGAAAAAAAGTAAGGAAACTCAGTTTCATGACATAATTATTACCTAAAAATTAACTGAATTAAAGAATTCTGCTTATACTATTTTATAGCCATCTTTGTCCTTTCAGTTGCTGATAACTGGTTTCAGTGATTAAATAATATATATTTACATACTCACCACAGCTCTTGACACAAGTATCACTGTAGAAATTGAAAAGCATTTTTCCTGTTGGGCAGAAGCAGCCTTCAGTTTTATCGGTATTAATACTTTCCACATGTCTGTAAAAAGAATGAAGTAACGGCATTTTAACTGTACATAGAGCATAATTTGGAACTTATCTATATACCACAAGCTAATCAATTTATAATGCTATAGTCACAAGTTTTAATTTTTACAGGCTGGATCTGCAGAATGCTTTATTGCTGTAGTTACAAATAATATAAGCAGGCAGTTGATAATGCAAGGCAAGATTAAGTACCTTTCCTTATAACGAGCCCTCTATCATTTGGTATTATGGCAGCAATACCCCCTGTTGACTGACAGGAAAGGATTGCCTGTTCAGGTGTTTTCCCCCATACCTGTGGTCCTTATACTCAGCATGGGTGTAGTCACAGTGTGCTCCAACTAATACAAGATGCTAGCTGTTTATGAGAAGGGGGAGCTGACCAATGAATAGGCTTCAGTAAAGAAACAGTATTGTAAAAAAAGTCTGCTTTATGTTTATTAACATTTCTTACTTGCTGTCACAGGTGTTAATGTTCACAGGTCCACAAGGATTGTATACCTTTCCAGCAGGACAGTTAAATGCTATATTGTAAAAAGCAAAAAATAAAATAAAAAATAAAGCCATAGATACATTGATAGATAAATAGATAGACATACAGACAGACAGACAGACATCAGACAGACAGACAGACAGACAGACAGACAGACAGACAGACAGACAGACAGACAGACAGATAGATAGATAGATAGATAGATAGATAGATAGATAGATAGATAGATAGATAGATAGATAGATAGATAGAATGTGTTTTTATTTTTCCTCTGCTATTACTCAAGTCAAGGATAGTAATATGGCCATATTTAACTAGAGTGAGTTACAGAACTTACGGCAATGGCCTCCAGTTTTTCCTCTCCAGTCTACACAGATTCCATTAGCATTGCACAGGGAAGCATAGATCTCCAAGCTGGAACACTGTACAGAATCATTTCTAATACGGCAGGCATCAAAGACACAACCTTCGTGGTAAGGCTTTGGTGGTATAATCTTGTGGCATGCAGCAAAGACACTTTGAAGAGAGAAGTTTAATTAAAATGAAAGCTGCTTCTTTTTTTTGTACTTTTGCTTGACTACGTATTTGTCATGTTTAAGAAAATATTCATCAGTGATGTATCTTCTTCCTCTCATTCCCAGTCTGAAATGTTTAGTAGGGTTGTATGGAGATTCAATTAGAGTGAGGCAATCTGAACACAAACAGCTTTTGCGCTCTCTTTAAGAAAACTCAAAGTGCTCTGGTAAAGCAATGTCATGAGTGGAAGCTGTATTTAATGTAATTTTTATCTGAAAAAATATTGTTCATCTATTGTAAAAAAAATAAAAGTAAATAAACCTAAAAATATAAATGAAAGGGACTTAAACAATTATGGCTTCCCTCTTATTTAAGTTCCATGCAATTTGTTGCAGCTAGAGTTCACACATTTCCTCACATGTAGGGTGGGCAGACCTTCATTCTTCTTGCTGTTTTACCAATTTAATTCTAATTTGCAAGGCAGTTTTAAATCTGATTGGTGTCTATAAGAAACAATAGTACTCACACTAACTAACAGGTTTTTCAGTATGTGAGAAACACCAAGGGTCATACAGTGGCTTTAGGCTTAATGCTAGTCTTCTGTTTGCGTAATGTGGACTGAGGTAGTGGGTTGAATGATGGTGGCCATTATTCAGCCTGGAAGACTGGTACATCTAATGGCCAAAAGAATTTAAGGTGACTATTGCAAATAAAGCTGCTTCTTTTTTGTACTTTTGCTTGACTATTTATTTGTTATGATAAAAATAATTGATTTTCACTAATCTTTCATTTTGACTGGAACATCCTTAAATATAAAGTGCCAAAAAAGGAACAATTATGTAACTTGCTTTAATTATATAGATGTAATATCACTTACTCGCTTAAGATAACTTCACATAGCTGTGAAGGTGGACAAGTTGGTGTTGGAGTTGGTATTGGAGGTGGTGTTGGTGTTACAGGAGGTGGTTTATTGCAGCCAGGTGTTGTAGTATTGACCCTCCATTTAGGAGCCATTGCAGAGCAATCTGTTACAATCTTGCCACTTGGCAATCGGCAGTCTTCAGTTTGGTTGTTGGAGCAAGTACCTTTGTTGGAAAAAACATCCAAATAATATCACTTAACATCAATATAATGTAAAACCGTACAGAAAGCCACACCCTTACAAATTAAAAAAGTATTAAGAGCTATTTACTTACCGCATTGTCCTTCTGTGTTGTAAGCAAATTTACTAAATGGCAGTTTAATTACAAAAATCATTCCGCTGAATGAAATGAAGGCACCTATTTCTGTAATTTCCACATTCATGTTGATACCAGCACTGGTGATGGTAATGCCATCCTTGGTGAAACCAGGAACGATCCAGTCATTGTTGAACCTAATCTGTAGAGTGGAGAGGATAGGATACAGTCATCCCTGAATAATCCCCATTGGAAGCAACCACTGATTCACTGTGCAGCCCAGTACATGAAATGAATTATAACAGGGCATGTGGTAACATGAAAAGAGGATCATATGTTCCTAATTCGTGGTTTGAGGTTATAACTGAGCCACAAAAATTGTAAACAATAGCAGCCCTAAAAATATGTGCGCACCATAATTACAGAAAATGTTATAGATTTTGGACAACTTTAAAGTGTATGTAAACCCATAATCTATTTTTATAGTGTGCATGGCCTTACTGTGTGCAATTTTCTTAGGTAAATAATTGTTTTTTAATCTGCTGCAAAATTGTTTTACCTAAAGACCCTTGCTGCAACAGCTCTTCATGTTGACAATGCTAAGCCACTGCTTCACAATTATCAGTTGTGTGAACTCCTTTTGGCTGCCTATCTGATAGACCTGATATGTTGCCCAACAGCCAACTTAAGGAGCAAGCATTGCAGGCTAATGAGGAAGTTATTAAGTGTTGTCAGTCTACAACAGGAAGTGCTGTTATTGGCAGCATCCCCAGGTACGAAACTTTGCAACTGATTTACAAAAATGGTCTGCATAAGAAAACTGTATACAGAAATGATGCCAGATATTCTGAAAAACAGATTTGGGGTTTTGGTATAATATGATATAAGGGTATTATATCAATAGCACAACACAAAAGGGCTTCATACGAGACATTATGCTAAAGAGTAGTGTATAACAGGAAGCGGCTTCACATGAAGAGATCAGGCAAAAAAAAATGAAGGAATTCAGTCAGGGATGCACACTGCTTGTAAACCAACTCTTAGGGCAACCTGTAATTGTATTAAGCTTGTATGCTTTTTATACACATCTTTTCACTTACCGTACTTCCCAAAAAGGTATTAGTTTGTATTTTGGCTAAAATATGTAAGCTCACCATCTGCAGCATAATTACAGATTTTGGTTGTCATTAATCTTACAAGGATCGTATACTGCTACAGGGCTCCATACAAGACATTATACTAATGGGAAATGTAAAACACTGAGGGGGTTCATGTAAAGACATCAGACAAGTGTAGAATGTAGCAAGCATAAAAGAAATATAATGTTATTCAGTATTTTTACATCATGTTGCCTTAGCTACACCTTAATGATTGATGTCATTTGTACCAACTTTATCCCTTGTGCTATGTGATCATTTTAGTAAAAACTACTGCTGCCATGTTTTATGAACTATAGGGAGTCTTTTGACTGTCCAAACCTTCCCCCTACTGCTCTTTTGCAAAATTTAGCCACAGATTTCCCAAGCAGGCAATTAATACATCATACAAATGCATAACCCAGAGATTTACATAACACAAATATTTTAAATATGGTATCCTGCTAAGCAATTGTCACAAACAACATGTCGCTCACACAACAGTGGATAAGACCCACTAATTAAGGGGACCTGTAAGAGCAGAACAATGGGACTTGTCATAGCTTGTTCAGAGGTTCAACTTTCATGCTGTAATATTAATTATTTATTTACTATCTATTGAGTAGCTAATCTGAAACAAGCATGCAACCAGCAATGTTAAAACTCCAACCTGCATATTTGTTGCAGGTCAGTGATTTGCACCAGCTCTAAAATTTCTCTCCTGGCAGGTTTCTTTCAAGGCTTACATGACTACAATGCAATGGACTCTGGAAATACCATCTCATATATACAAATTGATGTATCTCTTACCCTGTTTTTCATCCTTCCTTGGTATAACATACGTGTTAACACAATCTCATTGGATTTATAGTAGACCAAGATAGACTGTGGACAGGACAAGCCATCTGCAGCATCACAGAAATAGTTGTCAACCAGGACTCGGAAGTTGTCATACTTGGGAGTGATCTGCTGCACAAGAACATATGTGCAGTTGTCCAAGAATGTGTAGTAGGTTCCATCAAAGGTTATGTAATGTGGATCACCCCACCCACTGCAGACACCTGTTAGGGGGCAAGATATTCCTCTGTGTTATTATGCATTTGCACCATGTAAAACAGAAATTTCAAAGTATAGATTCTTCCAAAACTATTTTTTTCAGAACTTGAATAGAGAGTTAATGGGTTACAGCCAAGTTTAGTGCTGAGGTATTGCCATCTGTGCCCTGCTTAGATTAAAACAAGACATAAAAAAATGTTTTTTTTTCATCTCTACAGTACATCAACATCCCCCATGTATTATTCCCTTACAATTCTGCAAGTACAACAAAATAACTGTTGATGTGCCAGAAATATAGTGTGCTTTCTCTTTAACATGACAACATAGCATATTTTCAGTTATTATTTCTAAATGCTGTGTCAGCCCTGCCTGCTTCATTTGTGATGCAGTACAAAGTACAAATACTCTGCTCATCTCCTCCCACCTCCTCCTTGGGTAAGTTATCCAAAGCGGACATTTGTTCCATTGACAGCTAGGGGGGGGGGGGGATTTCCCCTTCTTTGTAGATATTTCCTTTCACTGCTTGTATCTTTGGAAATGGAAGTGAAGGAAATCTGCCAAATAGGTTTACATACACTTTATGTCTCAAACTACTCCAAACAAAACATGTTATGTTAGTACTTAGGGTCAGGTCCATTAATTAGTTTTATTAATTAATTGCTCACTTGTCAAGGTGGTTCTTCATTTATTAAACTTACATTGACATTCGTAGTAGTCACAGCAACCATCTGCGCTCTTTTTCTTAATTGGTGGGAAGCCATTAGCACAATTTATCGGTTTGATCTCTGGGCATGTCACTGGCTTGTGGATAGTGATATTGTTTCCTTGGCATGTGACCTGTTCACACTTGTCATTTATCCATGTCTCATTGGTCTACAGAATGGGAGAAATTTTTTTTTATTTGATAATGCTATATCACAAACACATACATAGCTATATATGATGTTATTAGGAATTATATAAATGGTTATTAGTTTTTTTAGTATTAAAAATACACTGTCACCTTGCTCATGCAGAGGAGAGTGAAAGTGTCTCTACAAGGGGCATCCCCCAACCTCCTTATTTTTACCTGACCGTTACTCTATTGCAGTTGATTCCTCCTTTATAGCTGGCGAGAATACCCTGCACCTCTAGGTATGGAGGAGCATGTGGCCTACTCCCCTCTGAGAGTGTTGGGTCCAGCAGCTAATGACTAGGCCCAAACAAGGTCACAAGGCTAGGAAGGTAATATCTCTGCTACAACAGGTCACCAACACTGCTGATTTCCACCTTGGCTGTGGAGGAGGAAGGAACAGGCTGTGGAATGAGGTACGGCAGGTAAGGTGAGTATGGCAGGAGCTGGGTGGCTTTTTAGAGAATCTGTTTATTATTGTCTGATTTTAATATATGATCATTCTGTATACATCAGGTTGCAGAGGCCACAGCAGTGGAATGGATGCATGTCAACTGAAGGAAAGATCAATACCAACTAGGCACCAGACTGCTGGAATATTGGGTGGGCATGTGTCTTTTCTGCAGTTTCCAATAATATTAGGCATAAAGTAGGGAAAATGTACTTATGCATGGGGGACTAATGCTTCATTTAGTCCAATCTAATGGTTTACATGTCTCAAAATATACTATATACTGTATATCACAAATTTAAAATGTGTAAAGGCAGCATGTTATTTAATTTTGGCTAGTGGTGACCCTCTGTAAAGTTTTGATTGCTGTCTTTGCCTCTACTGGGAAAAATAACCCTTCTATTTGACAGAAAATAATGAGAAACTCCAAGGGGTTGATTTACTAACCATATAAACACACCACGAACATGTATACACCTCTGTAGCATGATCTATGGGTGGAATCTAAACACCTTTGTAGTGTGTACACACCCAGCAGGTGTGTTGTGCAAAGCCCTGCATGAATTTGCAAGGTGATGTTGTGTAAATTAGCTCTATGTTGTGTTGCTTGCGTTGATGAATGCAGGAATGTAAATGCATGAGCTAACCATTTTTGTCTAAACTGTGAAGCAGCATTATATATGCATCATGTGCATGATTTTTCCATATATGGCATTAGTGGAAATATGCTTTTAGAGACTTTTTGGTTGATAAATACGTTTTGCTGTGTAAAAATCACACGCACCTAGTGCGTGCTTGTATTTAGGTTAGTAAATCACCCCCCAAATGTTTGTATTGTCACCACAGTACGAGATCAGGGTACAGCAGTCTAAGCTGGCAATCACCAGCACTTTGGGGAAATTTCCTCTCATTTCCTGTTGTGTCTTCAGGACAAGAAGTGAAGGGAAATCTCCTATCCAAAATTAAAAAGGTTTTTCCTGTACCTACATTTTAATCCTATAAAACATAAGCTTTAGAAGTTATGGTATATCAGGTTATAACCCTGCTGTAGCTAGGATATAACAGGCCCATTTTTTATGTACACAATCCATACCATTTAGTGCCAAAGTGCAGTTGGGTGCACTACCCTTGCTGGTACTGCAGCAGACAATTGAAAAAATGGCAAGCTCACCAAAAATCCAAAGCAACTAAAGCTTTTGGAACACAAAAAGCATGGCGATCGGATAAGAAACAAAGGTTTCAGGAACACATAGCTCTCCTAACCAAGGTAACATGTTTCATTGAGAGGACATGCATGCTCACTTTCAAAGGCTCTCTTGAGAGACTGGGTTCATTTACTAAAGGAGTAGATCATGTTCACCTTGCAACAGAATTTTTGCTTAGCTTAGTGAATATGGTTTAAATTCACTTGGCAAAGAATGCCCAATAACAAGTGAGGAAAATAGAAAAAAAAACAGGATTGTTGCTTGCATTTGATTGGATTATGGAAGCCAGCAGAGCTGCACCTAATTCGATAAGCTGAGGGAACATGTCATTGCAAAGTAAAAATTCACTTTGCTAAGTAAAAATAGCCTTTAGTAAATCAACCCCCTGCATCACCCAAAACCAAATATACTTGGTTGGTTATAAGGAGGTTTAGTTTAGTTACCTTTCTTGGTGGACAGCCTTCTACTGGTGTGGTTAGAGTAGTTGAAGGAGTAGTTGAAGGAGTAGTTGAAGGAGTAGTTGTAGGAGTAGTTGTAGGAGTAGTTATAGGAGTAGTTGCATTTTTTGTACATGTAGTACGCCTATGGGTTGTTGGTGACGTTGTGGTCTCTGGTGTTGTTGTAGTAGCTTGGGTTGTGCAAGGTCCTGTAAATCTCTCAGCCTCACAGACATCATTGCAAACAGCATAGAAAGAGCAACCGGCTTCATCAGTCTTGTTGTAGATAATTTCTCCTGCAGGAGAAGACACTTATTTAAGGAAAAGTGTACAAGATGTATTGTCATTTACATTACTGATTTTCTAAAGCCATTTTTTAAAATTATGGATAGGTTTGGGAAGCGTTAGCACCTTTGTCAGGGTTTTATTGATGTCTATGTCCCCAGTTTTTGGATTCACACTTTTATGTGCACTGGTGAGCACTTTCACAAATTGAAAGTGGGGAAAAATTCAGAGCTGTCACCAGAACAGAAATATGAATTTTTCCAATGGGATCACTTGTTTTGGTGACTACTATTTTAGAGGGGATTTCCTGTTGATTCCTATTGTGGGGTCTATTCACAAAGCTGCCGAGGGCAGCCGAGTGAATGATCGATCAGAAGTGAAGTGAGCCGAACACTGTTCGGCTATTCACTTCAGGCTGGTACGGCTGATTTCAGCCGTACATCGGCTGAAATCAGCCGCACATTGGCTTGCTTCGTGTGGCTTCGGATCAGCCGAACATGCTTAGCATGTTCGGCTGACCTGAAGTGCAGAAGGAGTTCAACTCAGCCGATCCAACATCTGGATCGGGTGAGCCGAACCTCCGGCAGGCTTCACACTGTTGTTCGGGCTATTCTGAAAGATCCCGAACAGCAGTGAGAGAATAGCCGAATGCCGCCGAGCGGCATTTGGCTCGGCTGTTCTGCTCGGTCCCTCAGAGGCACCGAGCAGAACAGAAAAAGAGTGAAAAAAGTAGAAAAAAGTTAATAGAAAACGATTGTGCAGAGCTAGCAGTGACAGCTAGCTCCGCCCAATAGTTTCCTATTGTCCGGCGGCTCTGCTGCTGTAAAAAAA